AAATGTGATATTTATTTTATACAACAGTTCAATAAACAATAAATTCATATCAAGAAACTTACGTTTTAGACACTATATTGGCTGTTTTTATGCTATTTATGTGCTATTTCGCCAACAAAAAAACATTTATGCATTTGTAACTGCAGTTTAAAGCACTCCATGTCCCTCTAAGCTGCATTAACATGTGTAAATACATCTAAATGCCACTTCATACGCAACTTCTGCGAAGATGAATTTTATTGATACTGATTTAATTTGTTTAGTAACAGCCAAACTGTATTATTATTATAATTGACTGATTAAATGTAAGAATTTGACTCAAAAGATGATGTACACCTTTAGAAAAAAATGGCTTTATAAAAGGTAAGAATGCCCATACAAGTTAAAAATCAATTTAAACTTATTGGAAAATATTAATTTTTATCACTGCTGTGAACTGACCACACAGAATATGAAGAATATCAAAAACTTTAGGAGTCAGCTGTCCACGGTATCCTTAAGATATCAGCACAATAACACACTCAGCAAAATATTGTCTAATTATCTTTATCGATAAAAATCACAGAAAATATTGAGATTATTTTTTGTCAATATCACACACCCCTAATACCGACAAAATGATTTGCAACGGTCGCTTTGTCACGCCCAGTGTAGACAGCCTCAAACTGTTGGTGTATTTCTGTCTTTTTTTTTTGGCTAGTAGAAGTTATGAATGGCCGGTAACTTAAAAATTTAGTAGCCAAATTGGCTGGTGAGTGAAAAAGTTAATTTCAATCCCTGCATACAATGTATTTTTGGCTATTGCTACAAATATACCCCAGCGACTTAACACTTTTGTCTTTTGTGCTCCAGGGTCACATATAGTATGTACATGTAGTTAATTAATATTACTCGGTAATTAAAATGTATAATTACACTATAAAAAGACACCTTAAAATAAAGTGTAACCAGAGATTTATACTTTACAGAGAAACTTCTTGATTCAAACCTATTATTATTATATATTTTTTTAAATAAAATAAAATAGGAAGCATCAATAAAAAGGAAGTAAACATTGTAACCAACAGTGCACACTGGAGAGAATTTTATATATATGTGTGTGTATGTATAAAGTACACAGCAAATATGACATGAATATCACATATTCTAAGCACTGTCAAAATGAAATCGGCTAGACAGAACAACTGCCAAATATCGGCCCCATCACATACAACTTTACAATTACTCTAAAATGTGGAAATAGAAATTACAGTAACATTAAAATAAAAAAAATAAAAAAGTGCAAGTGTCCAAAATTTTAGCTTTTTATAGATAAACATATATTTCGTTTTATTCTTCATACCTTTTGACATTCAATCTGTTTTTCAAGCATTTCTTGTTTCTTCTTCCTCATGTCTTGCTGCAGTTTCAATGCCTCCTGAAGGTCAGAGGTCACATTAGCTCACTCATAAGTACATTCCAGACTGTGCAATCCAAGCAGGTGGAACTGCTGCTATCAGCTTACAGAGGTGAGAAGGAGAAAGGAAATACTCACCTGCTTCTTTTTCAAAACCTCCTGAGCTTCCAGTGCTTTGCCCGTTTTTCCCAATGATTTTGATGCGGTTTTCAACACTGTGCGCAAGAACGGACCCTTCTGTAAACTTGGTGGCATCAAACCCTTGTTTGACAGAGAATTTAAAACAAGTGCCGATTATGAACATATTACATTTGTATAAACACACACACACACGCTTTACTGCTCTCATGCTTACAATTTTAACATTTTAAAATGTAATTTATTCCTGTGATGCAAAGCTGAATTTTCAGCATCTTTACTAAAGTCTTCAGTGTCACATGATCCTTCAGATATCATTCTAACATGCCGATTTGCTGATCAAAAAACATTTATTATGTTGAAAAATGTTTTTGCTGCTTAATATTTTTGTGATCATGATACACAACCATTCAAAAAATTACTTCTATTCAGAAAGGACACGTTAATTTGATCAAAACATTTGTGATGTTGCAAAACATTTCATACAAGATTTCGATTTCATATGTGGTTCTTTTGAACATCAAAGAATCCTTAAAAAACAAACAACCAAACAAAAACACGTATCAGCGCTTAAAAAATATTAAGAAGCA